AGCTCCCCCTCCTCTGCCCACTACTGGCCAATGTCATCAACCAGTCCCTCTCCTCTGGATCAGTCCCTGCCCCCCTCAAAACTGCTGCCATTACCCCCCTCCTTAAAAAACCTTCCCTAGATCCCTCACACCCCAGCCACTACTGCCCTATTTCAAACCTGCCCTTCCCCGTAAAAGTCCCAGAATGCGTTGTTGCAAATCAACTCCGTGCACACCTCTCCTCCCACTCCCTCTTCGAACCCCTCTATTTTTCCACCTCTCTTTGCGACTCCCAGTCCCCTGATGTTCTGTCAGTCTGCCTGTCAGACCTCAGGAGCTGGATGAGTGTAAATTTCCTTCAGCTGAACGTTGACAAGACAAAAGGCATATTCTTTGGCTCTCGTCAACGTCTAAAATCACATGGTTCTCACCTCCTCCACCTACCCGACCTCCCCCTAAAACTCTCCGAACCCGTATCCAACCTTGGCGTCAGGTTCAACCCCCAATTATCCTTCCTCCCCCACGTCCGGTCCCTCACCAGCACCGCTTTCTTCCACCTCTGACACATCGCCCGTCTCTGCCAATACCTCACTCCAAAAGCTGCTGAAACCCTGGTCCATGCCTTTGTCACCTCTCGGCTGGACTATTCAAATACCTTCCTTGCCGGTCTCCCCTCCATTACCATCCATAAAATCCAGGTCATACAAAATTCTGCCGCCCCCATTCTTACCCGGACCAAACTCTGCTCCCCGATCACCCCAGTCCTTGCCAGACTCCACTGGCTCCCTGTCCCAGAGAGGATCAACTTCAAAATCCTCACCCTTGTATTCAAATCCCTCCACTCCTCTGCACTCCCCTACCTCTCTGACCTCCTCTCTCCTCAAAACAGTGCCCGTATTCGTTCCACCGGGTCTGGCCTCTTTCTTGTCCCCAGAGTCCTCCACTCCATCCTTGGCAGCCGTGCCTTCAGCCACTATGCCCCGAGGCTCTGGAACTCCCTTCCTCACTCCCTTCGCCTCGCCCCCTCTCTTCCTATTTTCGGGAGAGATCTTTCTTTTCGACCGAACCTTTGGTCACCTTCCTCCCCCTCCCCCTGGCTCAGCCCCGGGATCCGTTACTGTGAAGCACTCTGAGATGCCGTCCAGTGTGGGGGGGGGGGCTATATAAATCCAAGTTGTTATGTGTTGCGTTAATGTATATTGTACAATTAACCACTGGGTGATAACACATCGCTCATGGTAAACAGGCTTTCCTTCTTTTACACAAGATCACTGCCATCTTTGTTAGCATTTGAAGGGAGGACGAGTACTGTTGTGAATTGTGGGCCCTAGGATGGCTTCTAGCTTCTCTTTGCTTAATATTTATTTTCTAGAGTTGATCTGCCAACGAGGGATAAAATCTCCATGTTCACCAGCTAAAGATTATCTTCTTAACAGTTGTTCTCAAGGCCTCAGGACCAAGCTACCAAATTGGTAAAAGGAAGATTACAAATATTTGTGATTATTTTTCTCCCTTTTTTATTTTCTTCACCTGTTTGAGACATTTTGTGCCAAGTCACACACCCAAGTGAAAAAGATCCATTAATCCACTGGAGCTACAGGCACAAAGAAATGATGACAACCGTTCACATAAGTGAAAGTGAATTCCTATTTCATACAATTAATACTGCTGAGCTCTATTTACCTCTGCTTATCATAAAACACACTGAAACACACCACACAGAATTCCTCATGTCATCATTTTACCTTCAAGATAGTTATTTGAGAAAGCAGCAGTAATATCAATCTATTAAAACGCTTATGACTGTCACCAGGTCCTTTGCTGACGGTTGGTCATTTTTTGTAATTAGCCCTTATGATAGCACTTTAGGGTTTAGAACAGCAGGTCTTAGAATGAGTTGGAAACCTGATACTTAAGTCATGTTAAACATATGTAAACAAATATTCAAAGTGCAAGTCATATGCTAAAGCCTCACAGTGATGAAACTAATTCTTCTGTAAAAGGAGTCCTAGAGCTAAACTGGGCTATGTGACGATGGCTGTTTTGTGAACCATATTAACCTCCTGAAGCAAAACTGAATCAGCCCCCAAAAAAGACTAAAACAATTAGAATAAGATCAGGATGAATCTGTGGTTATCATCGCAAACTGCTGTATCAGTGCCAAAGCGTACAAACTGGCCTGACACTGAAAGAGGGAGTGCTACTCTGAAGTACTGTATTTGTCAACCTTAATGTGAACTTGCCACTTCCTGTTACCCTAAAGTCTAAATCTGGAGGTCCATTGTCTTCTCAGCACCACTCTACAAGAGAGTGTGCTTGTGTGTTAAATATTTTGAATACCATAAGGGTGCAGGTTTTGCAGGTCATTACAAAAATGCAGCTGTAAAATTAACGACATATGTTGTCTAAAAACTGTAACTGAGGCAATCAGCTGCCAAAGCTGTAATGCGACTATTGAGCAGCTGTAGGCATTGCAGTCATTGTGTGTGGGTGTCTGTGACCTGGTATCTGTTTAGCAGCTGACCCTTGCTGAGTAACAACAATTGGACTGGTTTATTGTCCTGCATGCAATCTGCCTCTGCTCTTGGTGAGATCTTACTGTGCTAGTGGTGACAAGTTCAGATGAATCTTTATTTTCTGGTTTAAATGAGCAAAATAGTTGCAAGTTTCTTCCTGTTTTATACTCAATCTATTTAAAGAAGCAGTGGTCATTTTTAATCGCAGTTCTTTAACTTGTTTACTTAAGAAGCTACAACTTCCCTTTACCACACTTCTCACTAAGTTCCACACTGTGCATTTGCAAACACCGGGAACATTTACTGTGGCTGAATGAAACGTATTGTAGTGAGTTAGCTCGTGTTTTTATAGCTCTGTGAAAAAATATTTCAGGACAGGAGTTGCAAATAGTGCCATGAAATCATAGAAATTTACAGTAATAGAAAGATACTAAAGTAGATTCACCCAGTTTTACAGTATGCAAAACAGACTTCAGTAAATGATAACCTTTTAGCTGAAATTACGAATCAAATTATTTGCATTTAATAACAACTCACAAGACCACTAATGTCACAAAGCAGCAAATATTAAGTGAAACAGTGGGCATTGCCAGAACAATTTAAAAGAGGTGGTTCTGTTAACTCACAAATCAAAAAATGATAATGGTAACATTGACACCCTTAAGATTTTCCCAAAATAATAATAATAATAATATTCTTTGCACTTGATACAGCGCTTTTCACGTCTTCTAGACGTTTCAAAGTGCTTCACAGAATATACTGTAAAGTGAATTGACTGTATATTTATGGGCGAACGCGGCCGGCAGCCAATTGCGCACAGCAATGTCCCACAAACAGTCGTAGATTGAAAATGACCAATTTATTATTGTTTTGGGTTTTGGAGGGATTATTATTAGGCGTGTGGAGTAAGGAAACTTGCCCAAGGTTTCGCCCTCTGCCTGGAATTGAACTCAGGTCTCTCGCTTGCAAAGCGAGTCCTCTAACCACTGAGCTACAGGACTCCATATTACATTAAATATTACATTAAAAGAAGAGCTTTTACTTGAGCACTTATCTTTCAACATTGTCGTTTGTCAGAGCATGAAGTGAACTAGTGCACTCTCTTTATATCTCAAAACTGAAAATTTTAAATTAATTCTTGTTATTGCATAAGATCTACTTTTGTATAAATATCCAAATATCATTATCACTGAAGCCATTTGAGGGAATGGACACGCTTGTTCTAATAGATATAGGAAGGAAACAAGCTTGGAGAGTTTCTCAGAAATGCACAAACCATAATGCTGAACAGGAATTGAGTTGCATTAAGAGAGATATAGATAGAGCTTGGTTTGCCGAGTTGTGAGAACAGCATTATTTCTGTTAGTGAAATATGTTACAAAAAATAAACCAAACAGCAAGGCTTCCAGTAAATTGAACTGTGCTTTCACAAGTTTGCATTCAATTTTAAGTTTGACTTCTATTGAAAACAATCCCTTCAAAAAAATAATAATTTGATCACTCAATCCACGACTGTTTGTGGGACACTGCTGTGCGCAATTGGCTGCTGAGTTTCGCCCACAAAATATACAGTCAATTCACTTTACAGTATATTCTGTGAAGCACTTTGAGACGTCTTGAGACTTCCCTCCGTTCAGCGGCCTCCGGCCTGCTTCACATCCCCTGCCTCGCCCACCCCACCATTGGCAGGCAAGCCTTCATCCTGCATTCCCTCCATCTCGCCCCCTCCCTTGTCTTCTTCAAGACCCATCTCAAGATCCTATTCTTCGACCATGCTCTCAATCACATTCCTTCCTCCCCTGCCCTCCACCCTCCCCTATCCCCAAACCCAGCTCAGGTCCACTCAGAAACACTAACTGACTGTCCAGCGCCTTGGGACATCCTCCTGACGTGAAAGGCACTATACAAATGTAATTTTGGTGTTGTTGTTTTAACGATGTGATAAGACACTATATCAACTGTAAGCATTATTATTAAAGGCTTTGGTCCAGAAGCTGGAAGTCCCATACTTCACAGTTTAGAGACATCATCTTTGAGAACAGCATCAAGAAGAGGGTGGGGTGATAAATATAAATTTGAATTGATGGTAAGTACCACTAAATTAATACCATTATTTCTTTCAAATTCTATTTCAACACTGCTATCTCTAAGAGTTTTAAACTAAAGGTACAATGTGCTGCTATCATTTTTGATGATGTGTACATTTGGTGACAAACTAATATGCTTTTTGACAGGGATTTGTTGCCAAACATGCAGTATAACTGGGGCCTCCAGCAACATGAATCCCACTGGTCCTCCTCTGCAGTAGGAGATAATGACAGAGCTATGATAAGAGGGTAGTTGTGGAGTAGCTTTTCTTTAATACACCTCATGTAACTGTGGATTTCTAAATTCAACTTTTAAAATGTCAAACCCAAAATTGTTTTATCTAACTTCAACATATTTATCTGTCTGATCTAGTTGTGACACGATAAGAAACATTACCAATTTTCTTCTTGTCACAAGATGGTCTTTGTGATGCTGAAAATAATGACTAAACTCAGGACGGTTGGAATTTCCCCTCTCCACTCCACCCCCACACAAATGGCTTTAAACGACCTTCAAGGACACTTGCGAATTCTAAGACGCTATAAAGACAAACAGCAGATACATTACTCCTCCAGTAAAGTAAGTATTTCAGTAAAGGCTCTTGCTCACAACATCAGCCAGGTCAGCACACGTATTTGTTACACTAACAAGGTGGCTACCATCAAAATTTGAGACGTGAGAGGATGCCAAGCCCACTTCACATAAGTAAAATTGCTAAAGGGTAAAGGTGCCAAAAGTAGATAAAGTACTGCTAGTGTGAGGCAGCAATAAACATGTTAAACAGGATGCTGAGCTATACAATGCTTTGGTTAGGCTCAATCTGGACAACTGTGTACATTCTGGTCACCACAAACAAGGAGAGACATGCAAAAGAGAGCAAAAAGTATTGTTTTCAGGCTTAGAGAGATGATTTATGATGAATGGCTAGATAAGATAGGCCACTTAAGCCTGGAAACATGTCAGAGTGGACATTAAACTAATCCCAGAACAATACTTTCAAATATGCCAAAAACAGCAAGAAAAGAAGGCACATGCTTAAAGGTCAAGGTCAATTTCAAGACAGACACCAGGAAGCACTATTTCTTTACACAGAAGGTAATTGACAACTGGAGATGGTTACCAGGAAGGATAGTGGGATTCATTTAAGATATAGCTTGATGCTATAATAAGCAGATGGTGGCTGGTTATACTAGAGTCTGGCACGGTTGGTAGCTCTTTTGCCATTGGATCAGAAGGCTCAAGCTCCAAATTAGGACTTGATCTCATAGACTAGCGACTGAGACTCCAGTGCATTACTGCAGAAATGCTGCTGTATCTAAGATGCTGTCCTTCAGCTGAAATGTTAGATTGAGGTCCTGTCTGTCTGCTCAGATGTATATTAAAGATCCAATGCCTCGTTTGAAAAGAGAAGGAAGGTTTTCCCGGTATCCTGGCCAAAAAATCCTCCAGGTAAATTGGGCATTCATTTTATGGCTATTTGTGGAATTTGTGTGCAAATTGTTACCAGACAATGCACACTTGACAAACATTACCTACAAAAAGCACTTTAAGACTTTAGAAGCAATAAAGACAATGCTAATCTATACTAATAAAGTCAAAATTCTGTCGGTCTGTCTGTCTGCCAAGAATGCAATAACCGATTGATGTAGACATGATTTATACCTCATCAGAAAGGTCTTGCATGGGAGAATGTAATGGGCATATATTTTTGGGAGGGATCTATCTCCTATTGTGACCTAAACAAGCTCATCACGCATGTATAGACTCCAACAAGGAATCCTCCCAACACGAGTCCTCCCAACAGGATTCCTCCCAACCAGGAGTCCTCCCAATGAGTCCTTCCAACAGGAATCCTCCCAACCAGGAGTCCTCCCACTAAGGCCTCCAACTGAGTCCTCCCAACAGGAGTCCTCCCAAAATGATATGTGTGCAAATATGTGAACAAGGGATGCTAAGGAGTTCAATAACACATTTTCTTTATCTTAAGGGATAAAGATGCCTAAGAAGCGAAGATTAAACATTTCAAGGACAAATAAAAATGGCAGACGAAAGAGAGAAGGCCGAATAAATGAAACTGGTTGCAAGAGTAGCTGCAACGGGTACAGCTAGTTTATTAAAAAATGAGCTGAAGGACCTTCTTCTTCTGTACTTTTCCTGTAATCGTCTGATGTTTAAAATTGTTGGGTTATAAATTTTAAAAAGTATCAACTTTGGAAATGTTCATAAATATATGCTAAAATTGGGTGTTAGTTTTAAAGTCAGATACTGTATTAGGTTACTCCTAATATTCCAACTCTTTCAGTTTGGCTGTTGGTCAGCTACCCATAATAACAGCCATTTGAGGTTGTTGAGGCCTTGTTAAAGGGCATGAGGCAGGAAGTCTGCAAATATTCAGCAGCTGAACATGCATTTTGAGCAAGTTGTTTTTAACGCTGTCTGTGCCTTGGCATACAGCCCTTTTTGTTGGGATGATAATGAATCTGGGAATGGAGCCAGGTTTGGAGTGGAGACGAGTGTAGCGTTGAATGCTGACCGGCTGAGAAAAAAATTGCAACATTATAAGGAAAACTTTCAACTCACACAGAAACAATCTAACAATACCCAAACTCTGGAACACACTGTGCAGTACTTCAATCCAAATCTAGTGCAACAGATTTTAAGGCATTGTTCTTATTGTGTACTTTTTCTTTTTTTTCCACACCAACTTCTGATTGTTCTCCCCTTCCTTCTTTTAAATGGTTTCATAATATTGTTTTGCTCTTAAAAGAGCCATCATAAACATGATGGACCGAATGGCCTCTTTTGTGCTGTAAATTTCTATGGCTCTCTCCAAAGGTATTTTGGCTGTTTTGCTCATTCAACATCCGGACACACACACCTTCCAGTCACTGAATTATGATCATGAAGCAGGAATCCTGACTGATTTTCTTCTCCAGCTAAATATTCTGTTTTTATTCATCAAGAAAATCGATCAAGTAAATTTAATTTTAAATGTAATTTTTGGCTAGGAGGGCATGACCTAGGGGCTATGGTTAATTTTGTTGCTAGCAATTTGTTAATAGACGCTTTCATCACATTTACAGAATCCAGTCACTAATTTAGATTAGTGGTCACTAGAAAGATTTAGAGTAAAAAGTTCAGAGATAAAGGAAGTAGTGACACAGACATACTGAACTGAATGACCCTATTCTGTGCAAAAAATCACAAAAGGGATTTCATCCAGTCAAATAAGTTTTGGTTACTAAATTAATGCTGTTATAGTTTTCATATGAATGAATGTAATATATACTTGGATGTAGTTTTAATCCTCAGTGAAACAATTCCTAATGTTGCCAACGAAAGGTTAATCTTACCCAGGTTTATGTTATACGTGTTTAATATTGTACGTCGTAAATGTGGCAAGAAAACTNAAAAAAAACTCTACTTTCATATATTTTGCAATAGACAGGCTCTATGTTTGACTTAAATTTCAGAATTGTGAAAAACAGGTCACTATGCCTCCATATTCTGGTTGTGACGTAAGTACTTTTGCAGCAGGACGTTCCAAGGTGCTGAACAGTGAGGGCCATTAGGACCAGAGAGGAGCGTTGGGATCAGGGAGGGTGGAGGACAAAGAGGGTAGGAGGATGGCTGAAGGCACGGTCAAAGAGAAGGGTCTTGAGGCATGATTGAAGGAGGCAAGGGAGGGAGTGAGGCAAAAGGAATGTAGAATAGAGTTCCAGAGGTTGGGGGCAGAGAGACTAAACGCCCGACTGCCGATGGTGGGGCGGGCCGGGTGAGGGACATGGAGCAGGCCAGAGCCTGCCGAGTAGAGGGAGCGGACAGGTTGTTAAGGGGTTAGCAGGTAGGAGGGTACAAAGGTGCAATGAGAAGTAGAAGGGTGCAAGGCCGTGGAGGGCCCTGAAGGTGAGGACGGGGATTTTGGACTCGATCTTCTGGGGAATGGGGAGCCAGTGGAGCCGGGCGAGGATGGGTGTGATGGGGTCACTGAGCCTGTTGCGGGAGAGCACATGAGCTGCAGAGTTCTGGATGATCTGCAGCTTGTGGAGGGAAGAGTTGGGAAGGCCGACAAGCAGGGCATTGGCATAGTCGAGGTTTGATGTAATGAAGGCATGTATGAGTGTTTCAGCGGCCTGAGGGTTGAGGCATTGGTGGAGTTGGCCAATATTGTGGAAGTGGGGGAAGGCAGAGGGGTCATGGCAAGGATGTGAGGTAGAAAGGACAGTAAAGTGGTGTGGTTTGTGTGTATTTTATGGCTGAATGCAGCAGCCAGTTTGTGCACAGCAATGTCCCACATGCAGACATGGAGTGAATGACCAATTTTATTTGGGGATTGTTCACCAGGACATCAGGGTAAACTTCCTTCTTTTTCGAATCAAACCATGGAATCTTGGTATTTTATATGGCACGTCACAAGTTGTCCTTTAAAGATCCTTCAACCAGGCAGATGTTTGCCAAATAGTTGATGACATCTGCAAATTTTGATATCATATCTTCTATACCCGACTCCAAACAATTTATATATGGTGAACAGTAGCTGTCCTTTAACCACCATGAAAGCAGATGTCCGTCGAATATCTGATGATGTTGTTTGGCAGAGGTATCAAGTAGAGGTGTTTCCCCACACAAGGAAAGTAAAATCAAAGGTTAAGCCCACAACACTCTTCTAATATCCTGCTGCAAAGCAGCAACGGAGTCCCCAAAATTGTTTCCTATGTCCTCTCATCTAAAGACCTCTTGTGAAGTGTTGAATCAAGTTAATTTAGCACAGTAGTAATACATCACTACACAAGGATGAGACATGAAACCAATTAGCAGAGGTGGACCTGACTAAAATAAGGCAACCAGCAATTTTGAAGAATCATTTGTGAAGGTCGCATGCACATTGTAAGACACACAAGATTTTAATGCAACCTCAGCTCGGACGTCTCCCATGGTTAAATAACTTGCTGAATATCATTTAGGCTCTCAGATGACAAATGGATATGTGGAGGAGTTATTGGAGTCTTGTCAGTACCTGCAAAAACATACCCAACTTGAGTCACTGTCTTCAAGATAGAAGGAGGGGAAAATGAGGGAAAATTAGGGGAAAGGGACTGTAAACAATATGACATTAAAGGAAATTGCATTCGAGCAATTATTTTAATGAGTTACTTAGCATGAGGCAAATCACGTTCTACATTGACATAGTAAAGAAATGACGATACAGAGGATAAAACCGTTCAAATACTCTGGAGAGCAAAAGCACAGAACACATGGCCTACCATAAACATAATTTATTGCCATTTACTGATTTAGCAACTTTTTCCCAGATAAAGGAAAAAAGCTGTTGAAATGCTAAAACGACTAATATATTATTCCATAAAAAGGTAAATAAGTCCAGCTGAAATGTTCATGCGGCAAAAGGAAAAGGTGAATAGAGACTTCTGAATCATCCCACTTTCTGCTGGCATTTGAGGACTTTCGGGGGTGGTAAGGGATAGATTTTAGTATCCTTTACCCACCTCAAATGTAAAGTGCAATGAAGTGTAACAGGGAGAGACGGGGGCAATTTTAAAAGAAAGGCCAACATTTTTATTTTGTGAGTCCTCTGTAGGATTCTGAGAGAAAAATGTTATCCTCCAGCCACTCCGTTGTTAGTTTTGGGCTCCTTTGACATCGATATAATTTTCTCTCGTGAGTGTAGTGAAGTGACCATTTACTTGTTTCCAACAGATATTCAACATATTTAGCATAATCCTGGCACGATTCATTACGTTTATTGTGAACCTCGTGCCTGATACCATGTTATGCTATTTATTGTGCAGTGACAGCATATTGCTCCCAAGTCTAGAATGTAACTCAATGCCATCCCAAATTCCTGGGAGCACTTCCAAATGAGATGTTCTGGTAAGAGTGTAATACTTTGGCTGGGTAACAGATAGCTGACATCTCTAACCACTTTAATTGGCATTATTAATTCCCAAAACTAGCATTTCAGGTCATAGAGTTTGATTGTCATTTCGCTTCTATTTCCGCCAATTTAATCAAGTTGGTTACATAGGAAAACACTTAGGTTGTTCCATTCTCATTATTATGTATAATTCTTCAACAATGCTAAATTTGCATTAATATATAAATTATACTGTTTTCTTATATTCTTAACTTTGGTTTGAAATGTTAGATATAATACAATACGATTTACATTCAATTTACATACATTACATGCAATGCCTTTCATACATCACTAAACTAGCAGAGTTAACAAAGTAAACATTAGCATTTGGTAGTGCTGTACTGTTGGTCTTAAAGTGCAGAGGGGAGAAAAGGGAAACTGTCAAAGTGTGAAAAGCAAGTTTAGTACTGAAAGCAAGCTAATCCAAAGTTGACAATGTCAACCTGTCCACTCCTCGCTTCCTTCCCATGTGATGTTGCCAAGAATATTGTAGGGTAATAGTCTCTCTCACCCACACTCATGTCCTTCGATCTCATAGAAACGTTCAGGACTGCTGCAAACCTGTAAATATTTTGACTATGCTATACTGTATTACTGACTTGTAGGATGCTGCAGAGTTAAATCTGACGAGTGGGAAAAACAGAATATTACTGTGTGCGTACGGTATATTTGAACAGAACTTTTAATGCAAAAGGTGAGTCAGATCAAAACATTTAAAACGCACGATCACACAAAACAGTAATTGTAAACGAAAGTTTTCAAAAGTTGTAAAATAAAAGTGAGAACATGGGAAATTGCAAAAGATAGCGTAAGTGGAATCATTTCAAGTGATGAAATGAGCACTACAATACATGTCTGACAATATATTAAACTAAAACGTTATTCTCACCCTGACTAAATTGAATCAATGCCTCTAGTGCATCAGTTTAGTCAGGGTGTTACTAAACTCAAAACCGAGCATTCTGTCACCACAATGAGTTGAGATTTGCACTCGGACTTTCATTTTCATTCCTAGATTACGAATAGGCTGCAAATCTCTCCATTTACCTGAAGAGTTTCAATGAGACCTCGAACG